GCGCTTAAGCTCCTGGACCTGGATGTAAGTGGGCTGTTGACTTGAGTTTAGGCCTAAACCCTAAAAGAGCGGTTTAGGGTTTAGGGTTTAGGGTTTAGGCTTTAGGGTTTGAGGTTTGGGGTTTGGGGTGTAGGGTTTAGGGCTTAGGTTTTAGGGTTTAGGGTGGTTTTGCCGCCTGAGACGGCGTGGGTGGGATAAAGATGTTGGATGGCCCTCCGCTATCGGGCCATGACTGCTCTTCGCATTTCACGAAGCTTTCGAAGCGAGTCTGCATCCCAACCTTCACAGCTGCTGCACCCCTTCACAGCAAACCCTAAACCCTAAACCCTAAACCCTAAACCCTAAACCCTAAACCCTAAACCCTAAACCCTAAACCCTAAACCCTAAACCCTAAACCCTAAAACTTAAACCCCAAACCCTAAACCTTTCCGAACCCTGGGTCGAACTCCGCAGCTCATGCAAAGGCTCGAGGGCAGTGTGGCCCTCGCAATGACCGTGCGAAGCAGCTCGGCAAGTTTTCCAGGACGCGGAGTACGTAGGGGTTTAGGGTTTAGGGTTTAGGGTTTACGGTTTAGGGTTTAGCGTTTAGGACCCCGAGAAGGCCTTTTATTCCTAATTTTTTAGGCTTTGCGATCCCTTTGTCAGCCCCTGTAAACTAAACCAGAAAGAGTACCCTTTTTATTCCTGGGTTACTCTTGGGTCTAGTATCTAGCTGCTCAAACTTGGGGGTTCAGCCTAGCTTTTGTTTTCAATTCGGGTTTCAGTTTAGCTTTTTGCTTGAGTCGGGCGTACGGGTGTTTTAGTTCAGGCTTTTGGTTTGAAAGCTTGGGTTCAGGGTCCGTTTGTCATTCTAATTGGGTTCAGGTTGTTTTTTGAAGGGTGACGGGCTTTAGGATGCTGGGTTTTCGGGGTCTGCGCCTTTTTTTGCTCAACCCACAACCCTAAACCCTAAAAGCTTAATTTCTGAGGGTCAGAGTGTTTAGCTGTTTTGCTGTCAGGTGTTGGGGCTTTAGGGAGGGGTGCTCCAATGAGGATCTCTTGATTTTCAGAAGTTATGAGAAGATGGGGATTTAGGGTTCAGGGTTTTCAGGCTTAAAGCCGTCTGGGGTTTAGGGCTTTGGGACTTTCGGGGTGTTTAGGGTGTTCGGGGGTCAGAGGCTTATAGGCCTGGCCCACAGGGTTTGGGGCTTTGGGAATCCCTTTAAAAACCTTAAACCCCCGCTTCGGGTTTAGGGTTTAGGGATGTTTGCAAGCATGAAGCAGCAATGCCCAGTCGTCAGCCCCCCCAAACTCCCCAAAGCCCTAAACAAGGCTGTTCAGGAAGAATGTGTTTTGCCTAGTAGGCACCTGAGTTCATACTCTGCTACAACTGACCAGCCTAGGCAATCCTGAAGCCCTAAACCCTAAACCCTGAGCCCTAAACCCTAAACCCTAATTAAACCCTAAACCCTAAACCCCAAACGCCGCCACGCCGCCACCTGCCTGTGTCGAGTTCAAGACCACCTTGAACCTTCCGCAGTGTATATATTATATTATATTATATTGTATTATATTATATTATATTATATTATATTATATTGTTTTATTTTATATTATATATATTAGATTATATGTATATAGTCTACTTTGTGCAACCCTTTAAGAAAGCTGCCCCAGGCTTCGACTTTACTTTCGCGGCGCCCACGGCGGACCCGAGCCAGGTGGGAACCTGCGCCTGGGAGCCATTCAGGGGGTTTAGGGTTTAGGGGGTTTAGGTGGGTCTTTAGGAATATATGGATCGGAATAAGTACTAATATGAATATACTCGAATAACCCCCCCCCCCCCCCAGCTTATTCCAATTAGGGTTTTTTAGGGGTCTAGGTTTGAGGGGCTTGTTTTTTTTTCTTCCAGATTTAGGGCTCTAGGGTGGAAAGAATCTCAAAAACTTAGCTTGACCGCGGAGTCGAACCTCTCGACTGTTGCGCCTGTAGGGTTTAGCATTGAGGGTTGAAGGCTGCGGGTGTCTTGGAACCTAAGCCCTAGATAAGTGGCGTTGGAGCCCAAAACCCAAAACCCAAAACCCAAAACCCAAAACCCAAAACCCCAAAACCCAAAACCCAAAACCCAAAATCCCAAAACCCAAAATCCATAACCCCAAAGCCAAAACCTAAAACCCAAAAACCCAAAGCCCAAAGCCCAAAACCCCAAACCCCAAACCCAAAACCCAAAGCCCAAAACCGAAAACCCTAAACCCTAAGCCCTAAACTTCCCCGCGTCCGCAAAGGCACCGGTGCGACCATCCACACGAAGAACGGGCTCTGGATGACGCCGCGCGCGAGGGCGCATTAGCCCGCGCTTGCAGCTCGAGGGCTTGGGGGCCCCTGTTCGGGTTTGGGGTTATAGGGTTTAGGGTTTAGGGTTTAGGGTTTAGGGTTTAGGGTTTAGGGTTTAGGGTTGTAGGGTTGTAGGGTTATAGGGTTATAGGGTTATAGGGTTATAGGGTTATTATAGGGTTGTAGGGCTATAGGGGTATAGGGTTATAGGGTTATAGGGTTATAGGGTTATAGGGTTATAGGGTTATAGGGATTATAGGGTTATAGTTTTATAGGGTTATAGGGTTATAGGGTTATAGGGCTATAGGGTTATGGGGTTATAGGGTGATAGGGTTATAGGGTTATAGGGTTAAAAGGGTTATAGGGTTATAGGGAGGGTTATTGGGTTGTAGGGTTATAGGGTGAAAGGGTAAAAGGGTTAAAGGGTTACAGGGTTCTGTGGGGTTCGCAAGGGTTGAGGATTCAGAGGGTTTAGGGTTTAGGGGTTTAGGGTTTAGGGCTTAGGGTTTAGGGTTTAGGGTTTCGGGGCTCGAGAATTTCGGGTGTTCATTGCGCGCGTATGCCATCGGGTTGAAGTTCTTTTTTTCAGATCCGTTATTCGAGGCTTATTCGTCCTTTCAGGTCCATATCCTAGTAAGCAAACCCAAAACCCTAGCCCCTTCGGCCCTAGAACAAGAAGCCCAAAATTAGGGTTTAGGGTTTAGGGTTTAGTATAGGGTTTAGGGTTTAGGGTTAGGGCTTAGGGCTTAGGGTTTAGGGCTCAGGGCTTCGGGGTTGTCGTGCGATACTTCCCGAGCCCGAAAACTCTAAAACCCTGATACCCAGGTTTTGGCCTAGGCCGAGGTCCCAGGCGCTCGCAGTCTCGGATATTTTTTTAAAACGCGTTCTCCAGGCGTGCGACTTGGATCCAGGTTCCTTTGCAGTCGCAGCAACAAGAAAGCCCTAAGCCTATAGTCCCTCTGATGGCGGTCAGGGTTTTGGTTTTGTTTTAGGGTTGAGGATGGAGGGACCCTAAACCCTAAACCCTAAACCCTAAACCCTAAACCCTAAACCCTAAACCCTAAACCCTAAACTCGAAACCCTACACCCTGAAGTCTGAACCCTGAGCCCTAAACCCCAAGCCCCAAGCCCCAAGGTTCAGGTGTGAGGGTTTTAGGGCTTCGGGTTGTAGGAGTTGAAGCCGGTGGGTTTCAGGTGGGCCCTTTCACTCATACTGGGAGGCCCGTAGCCCGGTGCCCCAAACACTTGCTTGCTTGGTAGCCCAGTGGTGCCCTTTCGCCCCTATTTTGGTTGAAGGTTCCCTTATACAGTAGCCAACCCCGGCACCCTTATTTTTATATTGGCTTCCAACGGTATGTAGTGGTTTAGGATTTAGGGCTTGGGCCAGGGTTTAGGGTCTTCGGGAGAAGGGGTTAGGGTCTAAGGCTTTGCAGGTTTAGGGAGAATTGTTCTGCCATATTCAGCGAGCCTGCAAGAAGTGCGTGTCCAACGATACTCGCAACCTGGATCCTGGGAAGCGTTTGCCGAGCAGAAGAGCAACCGTTATGAGACGTAAGCATTGCAAAAAGGCGGGTTAGGGTTTTAGGTTAGGGTTTAATTAGAGTCTAGGCTTCTAGAGGTAAGGGCTAAACCCTAGAATCCCAAACCCCTAAGCCCTGTACCCAAATGGCCTAAAAAGCCCTCAGCCCTGAAATCCCAAACTTGGTAGACCTAGAAGCCCTACAGGGCCCATCTTCGGTAAACCCAAAAAAGCCCTGACTCTAAAAGCCCCACAAAAAGGCCCTAAAGCCCTAAAGCCCTAAAAGCCCGGACTCAAAAAGCCGTAAACCAAAACCTACAGCCCTAAGCCTTAAAGCCTGAAAGCAAAACAGCAAAACCCCTAAAAGATCTAAAGCCTTGAACAAAAGCCAAAAGCAAAGACCTTACAAGACCCTAAAGCCCAAGAAGCCTTAACAAGGACCCTAGAACCCGATAAAAGTTCTGCAAAGACGTGAAGCCAAAAAAATCTACAACAGCCCAATACCTCTAAGTCTTAAGTCCTGAAGCCCTACCTTACGAACCCCCCAGCCTACATTTTTGTAGGTTCTTTTTATAAAATCCCTTGTAGGATTCTAGGGTAAACTACTTTTTGGGGTTCTTAATAAGGTAACCCTACACCCTAAAACCGTAAACCCTAAACCCTAAGCCCTAAACCCTAAACCCCTAAACCCCTAAACCCCTGAACCCTCAACCCTCAACCCTCAACCCTCAACCCTAAACCCTGAACCCTAACCCCTAAACCCTAAACCCTCAACCCTCAACCCTCAACCCTAAACCCTGAACCCTAACCCCTAAACCCTAAACCCGCAACCCTCAACCCTCAACCCTAAGCCCTAAACCCTAAGCCCTAAACCCTAAACCCTGATTAGACCCTAAGCGCCCTAAGCCCTTAACCCTAAACGCAGGGTCAGTCCTAATGCCCTGAAGCCGAGACTGCGAGCGGCCCTGCAGCACACGGGTGCCAAGGCCACAGAGCTCCCCTTAGAGATTGAAAGGCGTTTGGTGGTTTAGGGTTTAGGGTTTAGGGCTTAGGGTTTAGGGTTTAGGGTTTAGGGTTTAGGGTTTAGGGTTTAGGGTTCTTTTGGACTACAGGCTTTAGCGTCTTAGGTCTTTTGCTTTAGGCAGCGTCCTTACACAAGACGCAAGCC